TATTAAATTTTCTTTGCAGGTTCAGTCGCTCCATTCCTCCACCTTCATGAGAAGGGCGTATTTGAAGGCAGTACAAAGAATGAAAGTGCATCCCCGCAAAGAAGACTGCCACATGCGCACACGCGCTGCAAAGGCACCTCCTCCGCCTATCACTCGCTCCTTCTCCCTTAATACCTCGCTGAGAATGACGCTGTTGTTAGGGACCCTGTCGGAAAAACGACAACCGTGAAGAAAAAGCGCTGGGCAAATGAAGTTGTTTTTTAGGTTACAGGAATAGCACAACACACTATGTCTACTACAATACAGTTTCGTTCGAAGGTCCCCATCATATAACACCTTTCAATCGATTCTGCAACTGTGAGTGGAGGAGGGATGCATGGCTTATACCAATACCAAATCGGATGATGACGATTGCTCCTATTCTTATTGTTTGCGTTCAAAGATATTGTTCTAGACACATTCCGAGTGTTGCCAACGAGTCACACTTGCAATGGTGAATGAGGGAGCGGATTTCCAGGTGGCCGGATCCGTCCTCGATAGATCCTCGACGCAATTATCTCTTCAACCAAAAAGCTGTAGAAGAAAACTAAACAGACCATCAGGAAGCGCAAACCTTCCGCTTTCCAAAACTATCTTCCCTTTTTCAGGATCTTACAATATATACACTGCGTCCCATAATTATACGTCCACCTAAGAATTTCCCAAAATCTCACAGATACAGATGTTTCGAAAAAAGTCTCCTATGTGACAATGTATCGCATATAAATACGCAATTGCCTATGAACATCAATTTTCTATTTGAGATCACAGGAATTTTTCCCAATAATTTTTGTGTAAAAGGCCACTCAGCCGACGTCCCAAAATTATACGTCCACCTCACGTTTATCGATTACTTTTCACTTCTGTTCCACGAAACTTTTTCATTGTGGTAACACTTCACTTCTTAAGGGAACAGCATAATAAAGACTGCTGTTGGATTTTGAGAAAGGGAAAATGTCGCAAAAACTGTTGAACAACGCAATCGCACCAGATTTGGTCCAGATTCACGCCCAAGCTTGAGAATTTTCTCAGGGGTTTCACATGATATGGAGTTTAGAAGAGCTCTAAAAGTCTCTCATTACTTTTCGATGGAAACAAAGGCCGTGTTACAGAAAAAACATCCACTTTCATCCAACGGTGCTCTGTCATCGAATCTTCTTGAGAACTTTATGCCTCAACGGACTTTTGTTTCATGCATGTAAAGGAATCCCAAGATCATTCTTGATCGGAAAATGTGAAAGACGTTCATTTATGGCAAGGAATCGTGACGAAAACTGGGCTGATTTTTGCATGAAGGTGCAGCCGAGCCGACTGGAGCAGGGTCCTTTTCTCCTTGCTATGCATGAGTGTTTGTCTGTCTTTCTTTTCAACATTTTCTTTCTTTTAGTAGTGCTTCACTAAGAAAAAAGCCATTAAGGGAAAGGTAAACGTGAGAAGAGAAACAAACAAATGCCAAAACATATCGGGCAGAAGCGAACCTTACTTCAGTCGGCTCGGCTGCACCTTCATGCAAAAATCAGCCCAGTTTTCGCCACGATTCTTGCCATGAAATGAACGTCTTTCACATTTTCCCAATCAAGAATGATCTTGGGATTCCTTTACATGCATGAAACAAAAGTCCGTTGAGGCATAAAGTTCTCAAGAAGATTCGATGACAGAGCACCGTTGGATGAAAATGGATGTTTTTTTCTGTAACACGCCTTTGTTTCCATCGAAAAGTAATGAGAGACTTTTAGAGCTCTTCTAAACTCCATATCATGTGAAACCCCTGAAAAAATTCTCAAGCTTGGCGTGAATCTGGACCAAATCTGGTGCGATTGCGTTGTTCAACAGTTTTTGCGACATTTTCCCTTTCTCAAAATCCAACAGCAGTCTTTATTATGCTGTTCCCTTAAGAAGTGAAGTGTTACCACAATGAAAAAGTTTCGTGGAACAGAAGTGAAAAGTAATCGATAAACGTGAGGTGGACGTATAATTTTGGGACGTCGGCTGAGTGGCCTTTTACACAAAAATTATTGAAAAAAATTCCTGTGATCTCAAATAGAAAATTGATGTTCATAGGCAATTGCGTATTTATATGCGATACATTGTCACATAGGAGACTTTTTTCGAAACATCTATATCTGTGAGATTTTGGGAAATTCTTAGGTGGACGTATAATTATGGGACGCAGTGTATATTGCTCTTGAAGTGGCAAAAACTCGCGTGAAAATTTGGGCCTCCTCGACATTTACTCGACGAAATTTGACAGACCCTATCTTTCTGCAAGGAAGGCTTCCAGAGCAATTTCGATGCTTGTTGGAAACGCGAAATCCAGCTCTATCTAACTCTACCTCAAGCTGCTTCAAAGGTTGTGAAATGGAGGAATGCAACCTTTTCATCGAGGGTGTAGATTCGGACGTTTTTTTTTGAAATTTCGGCAAATCTGACCCAGTGACAATCGCGCCGCAGCTGCCGTTGAATCGGCCTTTGATACACTCGGCTGTTTTGATATACTCAAGCAAGAATCAAGATTGAATCGCAACCCCGTGTCTTCAGGATTTCTGTGCGTTTCTGAACGAACCTCGCCTTGAGGTCACACAAAGTTAATGCCTCTTTCCTCGAGTCGATATTTCAGTATGTACACAAAAGTATGCGGCGATGGGAGTGTCTGGTTGAGTGGTGTGTGTGTTTTGACCGGGAAATTCAATAAGCTCGAAGTCACGAGTAATGATCAGCGGCAGTGAGTTCATTACGTAACACCCTAGGCGCCGGGTGGGATGGGGACACAAGTGGTACGTGATAGGAACTGATAACGACTGATAATAGCTGATAAGAGGGGCTAGAAAGCGAGCATCGCCAATTTCGTTTTGTCCGTTCATATTGGTAAGAGCGTCTATACTTACAAGTCTTATGTGGGGCGGTCCCGGGACATTGGTGGTACATGATTGGAAGCGATAGCAACTGATAATGGCTGATAAGATGCGCTAGAACGCAAAAGTCGTCGATTCCGTTGCCTGGCTCGCGTTGACACCAGAGCAACCATACTTACAAGTGTTATGTGGGGTGGGACGGGGACATTGTTGGTGGGTGCCAGAAACTGATAACGATTGATAAGGGCCGATAAGGCGCGCCAGAACGCTGAAGTCGTCGATTCCGTTGCCTGGCTCGCGTTGACACCAGAGCAACCATACTTACAAGTGTTATGTGGGGTGGGACGGGGACATTGTTGGTGGGTGCCAGAAACTGATAACGATTGATAAGGGCCGATAAGGCGCGCCAGAACGCTGAAGTCGTCGATTCCGTTGCCTGGCTCGCGTTGACACCAGAGCAACCATACTTACAAGTGTTATGTGGGGTGGGACGGGGACATTGTTGGTGGGTGCCAGAAACTGATAACGATTGATAAGGGCCGATAAGGCGCGCCAGAACGCAAAAGTCGTCAATTCCGTTACGCAGCGTTGACACTAGAGCGTTCCTACTTACAAATTGTAGTAAGTCGTAGTAGTACAAACAAAGGTACGTGCACATTATTTCGATACCAGATTAGTCCCCCGTCAACCGCCGGGACCTTCCTTTCCTGCGCAAGCTTTCTATCCTCCGCTATGGTCCCTTCCTCCTGTGACACCAACACCTCCTGGAAGTGACGCGTATGCAACACAATGGTGTTTCATACAGTAGAAGGGACACAATCATGATATGACGGTAGATTTTTCGCTTCCCTCATCCTCCCTTCCTCTCTCCACTGCCCTCCAGCTGCCACTGCAGCACCATGTGGAATGAACGGAAGTGTGCTAAGCAGGTGTTTATATAGCCCTAAGAGTGTTATCACAACTATCCTGCTACAAAACATTGATATCTCAAATCCTGTAAGCTACCCGATTTGTTAGCGGTTTGTTTATCCCATGAGCTTCCTTCTCACTCACTTCATTTTGCGGACGGACACACATACATACATACACACACACACACATACAGATACACAAACCGACACACAAAGTTAGCGCTTTATAAAATAGAAGGATATATCCAGCTTACTTAATAGCAGTCGATTGCATAAATTCAATCAAGTCTTCAGCAAATGATAAGTTTCATTTCTATCACGAAAGCCCAGACTCATTAAACCGCTAATCCTTTCGGGGTTCTAAATAATGGTGAATGTAAATAAATGATAAGCCTTAGCTCCTCACTTATGTAAATAGGCATATTTCGTTTTAATTTTGAGACTGACAGCAAATCCTATTCACCGCTAAATTATCTTAATTCAAGAAAAATGCTGGATGTTTACAGTTGTGATCAATATACCAGTTCAGCTCAGACGTTATCACGCGTATTCTCGATGAGCTTCAGTGAAACTGTGGAGGGTCTAACACAGTCAATAGTGAGATGGTTGATGGAGTATCTCATGCTGATATTCCATGGGTCCTCCAATTTCGCTAAAGCCTGCCGTGTGATGCGCGCGATAGCGGACGAAGCAAAACTGGTGTTACACAAAAGTATGCAGCGATGGAAGACGTGCATAGATGACAAGATGAAGCGTCCTTAGCATTATTTTGCAGAATTTTTTTTGATTTGTTTTGCAGGATTTATTTTAATTGAATTAATTTGCTCTGTTAGAGGGGGTCGTGCCAGGATCTCGATTTCGGGGGGGGGGGTCGTACCTCTGCGACCACGTACTCGACACGATTTTCACCCTGGTTTGTACAGAGGATGGCTACACATTCGTAAACGTTGGAGTCTTACCGCCGCGCTCTCATTTTCTTAGCGCAGGAGCCCTAGAAGTATTCACTTTGAAAATTCCAAAGCGGCTGTAAAGAGCAATCAGATCGAAGGATTTGTTTCAGAGATACAATTGCTCTCTAGAAACATCCGCAAAAGCTGCGGTAGACAGCTGTTCTACTTCTTATTCAAACGTGCCGTTAGGTGTGCAACAGAATATCCACGGCATCTCAAGGAGTAGCGCTCGCTATCGTGTGGATGCCATGACCGAGGTTAGCTTACGTGCATCTATCGTATGCAGCTATCGTAATGTTGATGGGTTGTATTGTTTTAATTTTTGTGTTGTTTTCTTGCAATCGGTGAACTATTAAGGCTGCTAAAACCTGGTGGAGTCAAGTGAGGCTAGTTCCTGGCATTGGAATGAAAGCCATGTACAAGGCACATCACCAGTTCAGCTCAATCAGTTGGTTCACAAAGGTTTGTCTCAGCTCTTATGCTATGAAGCCGAACAAAAACCTGGAATATGATAAGATATTGGTAAGTGCTGGCTATTGCTCGCAAAAGTGCACGATGGTATCGCATGAAATGCATAGTGTTTCAATAAACTGCAAGATCACATATCATGATTTCTGTATCTGCAATGGTTTCCGCTTTCTGTGTGCGGCGTAAACTGTGAAGTTTCAGATGGCATGGGCGACCACTAGAACGCTTGGCTGTGCAGTTTCAGAGAACTGCGGAAACACTTGGTATACTGCATGCCACTACCACCCAGGGTAAGGCTATCATTTCTCCATTCTTGGCCAAAACCACGTGTTGAAGGGTCACTTTTCCAGAGGAAATATTGTCGGCGAGGCAGTTTACAAGACTGGCTTCCCGTGCTCTGACTGCGGTGAAGGGTACTTCTGCGGTTCAGGCCAACTTTGCGAAAACATTGCTGGTATATAATCGAGTTCTTGAATACGCTTCGAATAAATAAAGTATCGCAGATTTTGCATATGGAATTACAACGATGTATTGAATTTGCTGAGAAAGACACATCATCATAGGCAGCATTACAGAAGAGTGTACACACAATACCGCTACTAATTTTTGTTCAATCGACGGTTTGCGACGGTCGGAAACCGTCGCAAACCGTCGGCTCGCCATAACTCTTTAAAAAATGGTTCGCTCGACCTGCAGTTTATACCATCTGATAGCTCTGCTCGAGATCTACAAGATGGTTAAATTCAATTTCTGAAAGAGCTCCATCTAGGATTGCGCCATGCACTCGACCTCCATCCCGAA